GCGGCGGGCTGGGAAGGGGTGATTCATCCCAAAGCCCGGAGCCCAGGCCCCAGCAGCTCCCGGGAAAGCCGAGGAACTCCCCCAGTGGCTCTTCCTCCCTCCCCGAGCAGGAGGCAGAGATTTGGAGCAGCTCCACAGGGGCTTTGGGAGGGGAGCGTTGGTGTGTTTGATCTGAGCTGTGCTGTGGTTCCTCCGCCACAGGGAGAGATCAAAGAGGCAGAAAAGGCTGTGGGGGTGGATCGGGAGTCCCACAACAGCCCCCGGGAGCTGCCGGTGTCCCCAGAGCGGGTCAGGAAGCTGCAGACCGAGGGAGAGGTCCGGGACAGGCAGTGGGCTCTTGGAAGAGGGAATCCCCCCCTTTGAAGGGCTCTGGAGCTCAGGGACGTCACTGGGTTCAACCCAAGCAAAAATGCTGAGCAGGCAATGCCTGTGAGAAGCTGGAGCTGAGCCAGGAGCACTTTGGTGTTTGGCTTGGGGCAGGAGTCACCTGTTTCGGTGCTTAATCACCTGTTTTGGTGCTTAATCACCTGCTCTGGTGCCCGATTTTAAAGAGCGCGTTTCTTCCAAGCTTTACAGCCGCCTTTACGCGGCGTTGGGGCTGCTCTGGGGAGCCCTTGCAACACCTCCCTGGCGGAGCCGGGGCCCGGCTCGTCCTCCATCCACGTTTTTCTGCCGAGTTCACACTTTCCCCGGTGCCTGGGATTCTGCTGCCGCAGCTCCTTGCGCAAGAGCTCCGAGGGCTCGGCCGGAGCCGGAGCCGGGGCTGCCGGTCGGGTTCYACCCGGAGGAGGCCGAGCCCGACTCCAGGCCGGGGATAATCTGCACATCTCGTCTGGAGACGTCAGAGTGACTCAATCTGGGGCGTCTGATCTGCGGGCGCTGAGCGTGGTCAGCACCCAGGCATGCGGCTGACGCGGCACATCGGCCCCCTCTCCTCATGGAGCCGCCTCGTGGGACGTCCCAGGCGGCTCCCGAGGAGGGCAGGTGCCCTTTGGAAATCGGGAGCCCGGGAGAAGGGG